TAAGTCAAGAGAATTATATAAACCCACCACATAGAAAATCTTGAGGCTGAGATTTGACCAATGTTCTGACTAATGCCAAAGCCCAGTTCTAGCTGTTCACCACATTGCATTCTCCTTTTCACATGCAATTTGAACCTTTGATTTAAATGTCTGGTTCCCTGACTGGACCAAGAAATCTTAGAGACCAGAGGCTTTATCTTGCACATATATGTATCACCAGCAATTCATTCTAGGGCTGGCATGTAGTGAGCACTCTTTGCTCACCAAAAGAATTGAAAGAATGAACAAGTGAATGAATGAACTCTTATTCTTAGAACATTCAACAGAGGCAGCACATCTAAGTTCAGGCATTAAAATGGCGTCAATATGGATCTTGTTATTTATCTTGTATCCTGTGATCTTGCTAAATTTATTAGTTTTTACAGGTTTTTGTAGATGACTTAGGATTTTCTACATGTACAATCACGTCATTTACAAATAAAAATAGCTTACCTCTGCCTTTTCAATATCAATAGCTCATTACCAATAGTTCATTCTTTTACATTGTTGAAGAGTATACAAATCAATTTTTAGAATACAATTCTTTTAAATATTTTGGAATTTTCTAGGATTTCTATGTTAGAGTAAAAGCTGGGGTGATGTAACAAAAAGACCCCCAATTAGAGTTGTTCGAGTAAAATGGAGATTTATTTCCTTTTATGCAACTCTCTGACTAGTCAGAGAGAGGGAGTGCATGTGTGTTTCATAAAGGGTAGTATTCCCTAGGCTGCCCTCCTTGTCTGCATGATCAAGGCTGGTCTCTGATGCCTGCCTTCCGGTCTGTAAGAAGGGGGGAAAGAGGAAGTCCAGGTCAAGCAATTTCCTGTTAGGAAAGTAGAGTGGAAGTTGCACATATCTCTTCTATTCACAACTTATTGGAGAAAATGCAGTCATCTGGCCACACATAACTGAAGAGGTAGCTGGGCAATGTAATCTTTAGCTGGGCAGAAAAAGGTAGAAAAGATCAGGAGCAATTATCAGACAAGCACAATCTCCAAAAGCAAATGTAATAATACTTCTCTTATCTAATGGTCAGATTTTGATCAGCAACCAGAAAAAAGGCACAACCCTTTTCAGCATGGGAAAATGCCATGAACAGAACAGACAGAGGTAGTCCCCAAATCCTGTCTCTTTCCATGTAAGAGGAGAGGAGTTATTCTACTCCTAGAGTACGCTAACGTAGCATTGTGACAAAAATTATGCCAATAAAGGGCAAGTTTGCATCTATGGTTTTCCCCTGGCATACTTCAGTTTTTTCTAGGCTCCTGCTGGAATAAAATGAAACACATCAAAGACGTGGAAAGGTGGAGAGAAGCCACTAGGTACAGACATCCTGGCTACAGGGCAAAGTGACAGCTAACAGCAGGGATGGACACAGAACACACTAAGTAGGAGGGCACAACAGTCTGGGATAATTTAATGCAAAGAAAATATCCCTAAACTTTCACACTTGAAGGTTCTCTGAAGGCATCACTGTGTTGCTGCCAAGTACAGAAACTGATGTTCGTGAGGGTCAAATGTGTGAAAATCATCCCTATACGATGAGCATAGCATCCAATACTATTTATGTCCTTTCCATCTCCCTTTATCCTCCTCTTTCCATCTCCCCCATACCAAAAACCAATCCTGGGATAATTTTTATCCCAATTAAATAGGATTTAAGTGAACGTTAAGAAAATATCTGTAATGAGAAAAGAAATTTCAAAAGAGGAACCTAAAACCTAATGGAATGATTACTGTGTGATCAACAATGAAGGTTCCATGGCCCAATATTCACAGAATGAAGTGTTTAGGACAGTTTGTAAAGATATATTTAATAGATAAAATTAAATGCTTCCATGTTTTAAGGGCAAATCTTACCCAGACAGCCTCATTACCCAATAGAATTATGCAAATCAGGTGTTTATTTGTATGTTAAACCTCATGAACTTGACATTTAATAAAGTTTCTCATTCTATTTCATACTTTATTATGCAGAGAAAACATACCTGATGATAATGAGAATGTGTTAATGGATATATTTAAAGTTATTATTGTCCATAATAGTGTGTGTGTGTGTGTGTGTGCGTGTGTGCGTGTGTGTATTTTGTTTTATTTGTCAATTTTCCAAGCCTAGAATTTGGACTTAAGAACAAGTGTTACTAGAGTAGATTATTCAATGAATTTAAAAATGTCATTTGCCATCATTATAATGAATTTGCCCAAAGGAGGAAAATGACAATACAGATAATTCTGAAAGGCGATAATCAGAAAGCAATTTATATTTGTTTTAAGAACATGTGTCTGTGTGTATATCTGTATCTGATATCCTTGGTATTCTCAGAATTTCAAACAAATAATAAGAGAACACTCTAAAGGTCAGACTTGAAAAAGTTAGCTTTTTAAAAGCTTCTAACTTCCTCCTCTTAATCTCAGCAAAGCTAAGAATTAAGAGAATTCAGTTCAATCCATCTAACAGGATCTTTTCTACATCTACTATGCGTTGATCAGTCATTTTAAGTAACAGAAAGCATCTTTGGCCTGCCTCAACCCCAAAGGAGGAATCTTCCATAAAGGTACAGAGCAAGAAGGCATCTAGGTCTCAGGAATAAGGAATAACGAAGACCTAGAGAGCTATCAGACTGCCTTTCTCTGCATGACTGCTTCACTCATTTGCATTTCTTTATTCTCAGGAACTTTCTCTACCTCTTTGGATCATGGACAGAAGTTTACGTGTTATACATCCACATAGACAGATTTGTAATCTCTGAATGGCAATTCCACATTTCCAGGATAGGGAAACATATTGGCCCAGTTTACTTCAGGTTTCTATTCCTAATCCTACCAGCTGTGGTTGATGGAGTGAGATCACATATATGAAAGTAGCTAAAAGAGAAATACCCCTAAAGATGGGGAGGTAGTTCCCAGAGAAAAGAGATTGTTTAGAGGTAAGCAGATAGTCTCTAAATTGTCCTTATACATCATATATTTAGCCCAGAATAAGCGTTGTGGGAACAAAAGAGATGCTTGTGTTATAATCCCTGTCATTTTACAAAGGTCGTAATCTCATAGAGCCTCACATACACATGAAGGAGTAAAATTTAGTACTATGATTAAGCACTGAAGTGATGGCTCTGATCAAAAGGGAGCTGGATATAGTGGAAATGTGATGAAATATAAAATGAAAAGACGTGTTCAAATCTTGGCTCTGGCTCCTACTCCTTATGCGTCCTTAGACGGGCCACAGATTCTTCATTTGTGGGTCTTTGTTTTATTGGTATAATGTGGATGATTATATTTAACTTAAAGGCATTTTGTGATCATTAAATGCAGCACCTCCCAAATACATAGTACACAGTGGAATCCAGGTTACCACAGTGTGGTTCAATGAGCATGTGTTCAACACACAACCTTGGTGAGGCACTGGACAAGATGCTGGCAATAGAATTAAGACATAGGTCTTCGTTGTCCTTAGGGAAATCACAGCCTGTTGGCGCAGGAATGGGGAGGTGGGAAGGAGACAGATGAACAGGTAATTTCAATAAAATTGAGTACGTTTGTTGACTCTGATTCTGGATGGGGTTTGGATTGATCTGAGAAGGTTTCAGGGAGGTGCTAGGACACGAGCTAGGCCTTATGTAAGTAGACAGGATTTGAACAGGAACATTCCATATCAAACTGAGGTAAAACCTTGAACTGAGCTGACTCAGCTCTGAAAGGTTGATAGTTCATGTTTTCTCTGGCAAGGAAGCTAAAGTAGCAATTAAAAAAGACTTTTTCCAAACACTGCTGTGCTGAAATAAAGGGGCTAAAAGAGATACCAAAAGAATTTTTAAGCAGGTTTTTACATGGTAAAGAAAGCCAGAAAATCCACAGTGTAGATAATCTCCCTTTCGGTGATTGAGAACATATTTTCTGTGCTCAGTGAAAATGAAAATACTCAAGAACAGAAATGTACATTTGATTTAATAGTATAAGTTTATAAAATTTATGTCACAATCTAACAACTAGACAAGTTTCAAAACCACTCTTTAGTAGATTTAACTGGGAAAAAAAAGAAGGAAATGATAGGAACATTTCACTATTTTAAAGTTGCTGCTTCAATACACTAGTCAAAGCGATTTACCATCTCAGAACAATTTGTTCACTTCACTTAGAAATTAGAAGTGTGTTTTGGCCAAAAAACCTAAATTTACTTTGTAGTAGTCATTTTTCTTAATGGAAGTGTTTTCCAGATGTTGCCTAAGTCTAGTCGTCTGGGCCCTGTTCCAAAAAATGAGGAAAGTTTGATTTCATAGGTTGTCACTGTTGATTTTGTCTAACCTTTGGACTAATTGGTTCATCTCAATATATTTGCACTGATATATAAGACCTCCAGGACACTGGAGAAATTCATCTATCCTTTTACAGGTAAGTGTCAAAGTTAACTTGCTTCATGGAATTAAATGTGTTTTCAATTCAATAGGGATATCGCTTATTAAAGGTGTTGGAAAAAGATTTATAAGGATAGCAGTTGGAAAGTTTTGAAAAGGATCACATTTATGCAATACACCTGTTGGAAGCTTGTAAATTTATACGGAAAGTTAAGGGAAAGTTGGAATGATAACTCCTCGGCTTGTTAAATTAAATTTTACTGAAGCTGGTTATTTTTTTCCCCGAGATAGGATTTAAACCTCGCACTGTAAGTACATGCTATAATTTGAATAGAGTTTTAAGATAAGTATGTTTTCTATTTGGGGGAATTCTAAATATTAAAATGGTCAATAACATGACTGAAATGGTTAGTTGATGATTTCTTCAGCATAAGATTAAATCTAATGGTCAAATATTGTAGAATTAAGGCTGATTACTTTTAAAACTCTTGTTTCAAGAAGGGGATGGTTTTATCATTAAATTGCATTTTGAGAGTTACTGAAACAATGTATGTAACACTGGCATAAATAAGTAGTGAGATTAAAGAGCAGTTTTCTGATACTTTTCTTTTCTTTTCAATGAGGGCTCAGTACCTGAAAACAACCATGGAGTGGAAAATACTTCCCATTTATTTGTTGCTGCTGCTGTCTGTTTTCTTGATTCAGGAAGCTTCTTCTCAAGGTAACATAGCCATCAAAAATACTTTTGTTTAACAACTATTGCTAATCATTCAATTCTGACTTTTATGAAAAAGAAATAGATTTCTAAAAACATACATTTGTTTGAGCATAATGCATAGTCAACCTCAAAATTTTGTAAAGCATTGTAGCATATTTATAAGCATTTTGGAATTCTCACTTGTTTCTCATGTATTATGGAATGTTTCAAGAAGTTTTGAGCTTTTCTGTATAATAATTTTTGTATTCATTATTCCTATGGTTCTCTCAAAAGTTTAAAAAAATACAGGCACTTATGTGATAAAACTATGCTGGAGTGATACAATATCGTTAGATTAACTGAAAAAAACAATATTTAAATAGCATATAATTTTTGCCTACATGTTTGTGAAGAAATTTAACTAGTCTTTTACATCAAATAAATTATTGATAAATAAGTTATTTTTTAGCATCATGTAGATACAGATATCATATTACAATGAACATTTATGGTGTCTCAAACGGCATTTTATTAATCTTGAAGATGCGCTCTCTTTCTTGCAAGGGCTATTCATCCAGATATAGACTTACACAGAAGCGAAGGTCATTTTATAGCATAATATAGAACTATTCACAGTCTTCCAAAAATAGAGTCAGTCCAGGATGACAGTTCTTGTTATTCATCTTTAGAGAATGTTGAGGTACATTCAATGTAATCACTTTAGCAAAAGTCTCTAGTATGTGAACAAGGTTGATTAGTGACAACAATACCAAGCTTAGGATTTTCATTTCCTTTTTTTTTCTTTGATTAGCAAAATCTGAGAGAAGAAAAATCAAGGTGCATAATTGTTATGATGAAATTACATTTATAAAGTAGGCATTTCCAGTAAAATGACTAAAATTCTCATGAACCTGAGCATGAGAGATGACTGCCTGCTATGGACATAGTTTCAGAATCACTTAGATAAGAAAAGGTGGAAAAACGCATGAAAGCAAATATAAACATTTCATAAGGAATGATGACTACTCTGGTATCTCCAGACTCTTTTGCTCTCTGATAATAATATTACAAGGTTCATAACACTGGGGGCACTCCCTAATCTACCTTCCGTAATAAAATTGGTTGTTCACTAAGACAGTTTCACTTTGCTTTAAATAAATGAATTTAAAATTAGTTGTTAAAAGTAATAGGAATAAAAGTAGGACAGACATTTAATTTATGAAAATAAGCATTTCCTGTAAAGATAATTGATTTCCCATTTCAGAAATCTGCTAAGTGTAAAAGAATAACATTTTGATGTTGTCTTGCCTGCTTTTCTTGCCTTCTCAACCTCTTCCCATTCTGTTTTTTCTTTATATATAATATATGTATTTATATACATACACTATATATGCATTTTTGTTATGTATTGTGCACATATGTATGCAAAAAGTTCTGAAAGTCGACCTAATATTTACTGTTTTATTTGTGTATTAAGACTTTACCTTTCCTGGACTCACTATTTTGAGATTTTTTCAGTGTTTCAACATCCCTCTATGGATTCAGGACATTGCGCCTGCCAATTTCTATTCCAGAGATGGATTCAGTTGTTGCATTGCTGTGGTTATCTCTCAGGGAGGTTTTCAAGGTGTTTTCCAAATGATTTTAAAAACACAGTTGAAGATGATTACGCTTTTGTTCTTGTTTTGGTTTTGTTTTACCTAGAATAACTCCATTCATGCCCTTTATATTCATACCCAGACGCTATTTCAAGAATTATCTATTTTGTACTCACTTTGGCAATGGTTATAAGCATCTGACTGCTCCATTTACCCCACCAGTAAAGGGAGGAGGAAGTCTAGGAAAGTTCGTGCTGGCGTAACCAGCTTGCTTTAAAATCATCATCAGGAATGAGAGGCAATGTGATTGGGTGGGAAAAGTTTGGGCTTTAGAATCAAATAGATCCAAGTTCAAATTCTAGGTGGGCAGTTTACTTAGGATGACCCTCTCATTTATTATCCAAATCAGGACACTTCTGAAAGTGAAGGAGATCAATACAAATAATCAATAGGTGCTAGTCGACCTGTGCTACATATACACTGGAACTACTAACTAGCTGGGTGGCCTTGAGCATTATTACAATTTTGTGTTTCAGCTTCCTTATCTCTAAAAAGGGCTCTTAATACTCTCCTGGCAACATTTTCATAAGCATTAGAGATAACGTATGACTCAGTGCCCAGCACAGAGATGCCCACTAAATGGCAACTAGCCCTCGTCTTAACAGCATCAGTAGAGCTGTAGCTGCCACCTCTCCCCAGGAATATCACTCTCTTTATGCAAAGCCATTACTTTGCCTGATTTTCAAAAGTGTGGTTATCTTCTCAGTCTGGTAAAGGATAAAATAGCACCATCAAGGTCGCCTGAGAGATCAGGCAAAAATCACTTGGACCCATTGCCAACCCTCATTCCCAACATTTTCTAGTCAATATAATTCTCCCTCACCTCTCACCCCTGGCTTTGTTCTCCTCATTAGATCTCTTCCTTTCCATAAAGTGGTTTGGCCATGTTTACGCTAGTATTGTATAATTTTAGATGTATCAAGCTGTGCAGGGAGATGTGGGGAAGGGTATTCTAGAGATGCCACCTGCAACTGTGATTATAACTGCCAATACTTCATGGAGTGCTGCCCTGATTTCAAGAAAGTCTGCACCTCGGGTAAGTCCTGAGAGCTGGTGTCTCCTCTGTCAAGCAACACTGTTCTGTGAGAGTCCCCGTGCACCCCCTTGCAGAGCTGTTTTCACACTATTTCACACTTCTTTTTGCTTAAGTGCCTTTCCCTTCACTTGCATAAATGTTGCAGTGTGCTGTACGTAACCATGGTGTCAAAGCTTGTGACTACTGGGGGAGGGTAAGGCAAGTCTGGAAATCTGTCACTTGCACAAGGTTATTGACTAGTGCCAAGTAAAATGTCTTGTTTTAAATAGAGAATAGTGTGACTTGGGAGTCATTAAGTCAATAGTAACGAGTAATTATTTACTGCCAATCAAAGATGTAATTGCTTAGTGGTGGGGCCCTTCAATAGTTTCATCAAAAGAATCCGTGGATATAAAATAATCTAGTCTACTATATGACTTTTTGACATTAATATGTTTCTAAATTACCTGAAAAAGGCAATTGAAAGATGAAGCATTACTGTTTAATGAAGAATTTCAGTTAAAACTCAAAGAATCTGAATTTTAAATTATGAGTGGTATTTCATTTGAATATATTTTCGTCAATTTTGTTATTAACACAGAAACATTTCATATTTAATTTATGAAAATTATAATTAAAATTGTTTCAAAGTTACATTTGTTTTAGAATTTACATGTTGAAGCTAATAGATATGTTGTTGTACAATTTATGTGATGTGTAAGGTAATTATTTCAAATAGGCCTCAGTGAGTCATTGTGCCTCTATGAGGCTTTTTTGGAAATGAGTAGCCCTCTGTCACCATAGTCCATGCCGTGGGATTAGGCTAAAATCTTTCAACTCTACATCTCGCCTAGTTTGTTGTAATAAAGGTCTCTGCATTATTAATAATTTTTGAGCCTAAACAGTGACCCGTTTATATTAAGCCAGCTCTTTGGAATATATTGTAGGATCTGAACGTTCAATGAACAAAAGTCTATTACAAAGCAGTGGTGTGTAGAGGAAAGGGTGGAGGGATTTCATATGAAGAGTACTTCACTATTTAGACATTTCCCAATTTTCCGTTGTGCATACATGTAAATGACTCAGGCAGCATTGGGGTGTCTCTTGGAGCCTTGAAGGGCAAGAAAATTTTCCCTAAGTCACATTTCTTTCTTGACTTGGGCTGTCTCCACTTGGGAAACCACCCATTTTTTTACTGGGTGATGTCATCCAAATTGCAAATAAAGGACTCAGAAATGCACTTTTGGAACTCTAGTCAGCCTTAAGATGGGAAATGGCTGTTAATACATGGGTGTGGCTGCATCATCAATAATCTATAATGTCTTATTTTGCTCTGGGTAGAGCTTTCCTGTAAAGGCCGCTGCTTCGAGTCCTTCGCAAGAGGAAGGGAGTGTGACTGTGATGCAGACTGCAAGAAGTATGGCAAGTGCTGTTCCGATTATGAGAATTTCTGTGAAGAAGGTAAGCATCACAGTACCCATGATGCTTTTGGGTACAACCGGATCTGGGCACCTGTCTGCGCTCCACTGACAATTTCTACACGCAGTCCATCTAAGGTCTTGATTTTACTAACATACAAGCTATTTCACACTAATTTTGTTTCACCAAGGTGAATTAAAAAAGGAAAGCCTCTTCTAACAGCAATCCCTGGCTCAGCCAGGCTCCAGGAACACCAGAAATCACTGGTTGACTAACAGAGAATAGGGGCCAAGTGTACAAGCTTTTTTCTTCAGGTGTGGTTCAATTTCAGGTTAAATCAACAGTAACCAACTCACTTGATGGTTTCTTGTCTCACCCTAATGGTGCTGACTTCACAAAGTCAACTGTTCTTTGAGCTATCTGTGCTTTTGGCTTCAGTGTTTTTGAGTGTATATTTTAGGACAGAATTGACACTTGCAGCTTCTCTGACCTAGTGAATTTCTGAGTTAGTTTAAAGCACTAAATTTACAGGCAAACCGCCCAAGAAGTTGTTAACTATTCATTGTTATGTCTCTTCCCATCTCTACAGTCCCCTCAATAGTGTCTATCCGAATGTCTGTGTGTGATAGAGTCAATAAAAAGGCATAGTCCCATTTTGAAATCCTCTTCTCTAGTCACAGGTCCTGAAGGAGTACTCTGAGAGTATAAACCCTCCAGATTTTACAAAAAACAAGATTTAAAAATTTACTTAAATAATGATTCCTTTCTTTTACCAAATGTTTGTTCTTAAATCCTACTTAATTAAAAAAAGAATATTTATGGAGGTAAAAGTGAAAATAAGCATCGCTTGCATAATCTTGTCATTTTATTTAAACAAGGCTGTACCTCCTGCTTCTTTCGAACAGTGGAGAAATAGGGTGGAAAACTGTTAATTAGCAAAGTTGGGGGACATTTCTTTTTTTTTTTTTTCCTGCATTTTTTTTTAATTTATTTTTTATTTTTTTTATTTTTTGTTTATTGCAGTAACATTGGTTTATAACATTGTAAAAATTTCAGGTGTACATCATTGTACTTCTATTTCTTAGTATTTTGGAGGGACATTTCTTAACTGCTCAGTGTTTGCATTGGAAAGCATTCCAAAAATAATGGAAACAACACCCCGGTAATCAAAAACTTAGAGTGCAGAGTTCCTGCAGCTTTCAGAAGGACCTGTGATGAGTGATACATATTTATTCATTGCCCTGATAATTGTTTTGGCTATGAGACCAAAAATACTAAGCATTTATTTGGGGCAGAGGATGGGTGGGGAGGGAGGATGGTTAGAGAGTGATGAGGCATTGTTAGAACATCTTAATAACGACAATACTTTATGCTACTAAGTGGTGGGTCAGATTACCTGAGATTTAGGTAGAACTCAGTGAAAAAAATTGATGAAGATGATGCTTCATTTACAGAATTCACAGAGATAGTCAGGATTCCACCTGAAAGTAAAGCAAGGACCCAGAGCTTCAATACTTTATTTTTTAAATATAACAACCAGACTATCTTGCAACTCATCATTTAGTTGTTTCAAGATTGCTATAGATACTGTTGTAGGCATCTATATGTCTCAAAATCAAAACATTTCAAGAATCAAAAGAATCACAGCAGTCAAGTGCCTCCGATTGTGGGTGAGAAAACAGTCCAAGAGGTTAATTGTTTTGTTCCAGATCACTTAGCTAGTACATGGCAGAACTGTTTCTCAAATTGAAGTATTGGTATTTTTCTTGGGTGGGAGGAGACAGAGGGAGAGTTATGGCGGTCAGTTCCCAGAGACTGCAGCAATAGAGCTCTGAGGAGATGCTGGGTACAAACAGCAGGCTTTATCACAACTCTTCTCTACCCAGAGCATCCCCACTCTTCTCTGCTTTCTTGTCTTTCAGGAGTCCCTTTCTTTCTCCTGGCTCCTCATGATCGAAACATGTCCCACGTCTTCTCTTCTAGACATGAAAAGGGCTAGGACGAGGGACAATAAAAGGTTTAAAACATACACATCACACCATTAACAGTTGTTTAACTTGGAGAAGGGCAACAAATTTTGAGAAAAGCATACTGTGAAGGTGTGAAATTTTTACAAGTAAATATTCGTGTAAATCTTTTGTAATTAAAAAAATTAATGAAAAGTTATTTGGCATCATTTGATTTAAATTAACAGGAAAAATGTAGTTATTATATTTCTCTTCTTGAGATCACAAATACCTGTCATCCACATGTGGTAATTATTTTTATCATCACAGAAGGCTGGCACAAGCGATGGACCTCATAGAGTCAAGTATTTTTTAGTCAGGGAAACACCTTCAGAAATCATCTAGAATAAACATCTCAATTTGCAGACAAGAAAATGAAGCTCAAGAGGGGTTAACCCATTTGCCCAAGGTCTCAGTGGCAAGCCTTGCAGGCCTCGGACTGGAGTTCAGGTCTTCTGACTCCTGAGCCTTTTCTCCGTGTCATAACTTATAATTTAAGAACCAGTATTTTATAGCAATGCATCCTTAGAATTAATTGGTTTGCAGTAATTAGTGTTGGGCTAGAGCCTGCCTGCGCTAGTTTTCACCAGCATCTACTCTTGGAGCCAAATGCATCTGAGCCTTTCACAGTTAGAGTCACTGATGAATATGAACAAGATGTTAACCAACCTGTCTTGCTTGGCCTCAGTGCATAATCCCACATCACCACCATCTTCAAAGACTGCACCTCCGCCTCCAGGAGCATCTCAAACCACCAAATCAACAGCCAAACGTTCACCCAAATCACCAAACAAGAAGAAGACTAAGAAAGTTATAGAATCAGAGGAAATAACAGAAGGTAGGAAGATGACAGATGTAACAAAAGGAAGTTTCTGAGATGAAACAACCGTAGATGGACTACTTTTATGACTCCTCACAGAATAGGGTAATCTTATGAGTCATTAAAGGCCCATTACATTTTGTTTATGTTTTTTAAGTCAACGTTTAAGCCAAAGTATAAACCCTCAGGTATTTATTTTCCTTTTTTCCAAACCCAGTATGGATGGGTCTAGGTTAAAATAATCAGAAGAAACAAGTGTTACTGTAAAACAAAAACAAAAACAAACAAAAAAGCCCATGATTTTCTTTGCAGAATCATTAGATTCTGTGAGATATCAGAAAGTTGAGAGAAAGTCATATAGTTATATTGTGAGTATCTGTGATAAGCTCATGTGTTGTTTTTAACTGACAATTAAATTAAAATGGCAATTGATTACATTATTGATAAAATAAAGGCAGAACACAGACATTTGTAGACCAGTAAACAGCATTTCTTGTTGTATTTGGACTGGCAATTCTTTTTTGCTTTAAATCACAGTTGGTGTGATCAACCTTTTTATTTGATTTATAGAACATTCTGTTTCTGAAAATCAAGAGTCTTCCTCCTCCTCTTCCTCTTCCTCTTCAAGTATTTGGAAAGTCAAGTCTTCCAAAAATTCAGCTGCTAATAGAGAATTAAAGAAGAAACCCAAAGGTTTGAGCATTGATAAAGATCCAAGACTATATCAATGCCATGCTAACAATAATTATCTAAAAGTAATGTGTGTTGGTAGAATGATTTGAGGACATTTCAAGATTTGGGGGGTATATAACTTTATAAAAATTATTTTAGAAGATACCAGTGAAAACTTCCATAGGAAATTTGTGTCAAGCAGCTAAGAAACCACTCTTTAAAGCAAAGCATAAAAAGATGCTATAGCAGCAACTGTGGAACCACAGGCTGGCACCAGAGATGATTGTATATGGTTTTCTATTTGGATTCCTGTCTATCTGATATAATGTTTCTTTCTTCTCCTTCTCTCTCTATCATCCTTGTGTTTTCATTTTTCTTTCCTCAGATTTTTTCTTTTAACAAACACTTATACTGCTTTAAGTGTTTTAAAATGTTAATCCATTAAATTCTCGTACACCTCTCTGGGAAAGGCAATATTATCATCCACATTTCACAGATCCTCTTTATTATTTTCCTAATAAATTATACGTCATATCTGGCTGATTTTTCTGTAGCAGAGAAAGAACTACAGAGTAGGCTATTACCTCCTGAAAAGAGATTCTCTTTGTTCTGCTTTTTATAATTTCCTGAATTTCTAAAATATATTCTCTTTCTCCAGGAAATACTGAATTTTGGATACTGGAGTTTTGAAGAGCTTATTTCCTGGGTGGTTCTGACTTCCCTTGAAGTCTTCTCTCTAGCTGAATAGCCAGATGTTTAATCTTTGAGTCATCCAGAGAGTCTTGCTTACAATAGAAGTGCAATACATGTTTGCTAAATGGAACTCATCTCAGTGATGCGCCCCTTGGTCTTTTTAGTTCACCTATGGGGTAGCTGCTATGGGAAATCCTGTTAAATAGAGTCTTTTTGCTGCCATGGCATCCTAATCTCCGCTCGATATCCCCTGGGACTGTCGAGTTTAGATGGGCAGAGGAAAGAGAGCAGCTAACAGCCATGTGTATGGAAACCGGGCTCAGCAGGGATCATGGGGGTGACTGGAGCAGAGTCCTTGGGTGTAGTTGTAGAGGCCTCTGAGGTAATTCGTGCAGTGAATCTACAAGACGTTGGAACTAGGTTTCCAGGAGGAAGGAAAGGGCACTGAGCAATGAGGAATAAGAGGAGTAAAGAAAGTGAGGGGCAAAGAGCATTAATATAAAGAGATGCATTAGTGTTATTGATTGTGTTGGTAATTTCAGTTGCCACTTGTTTCCATGTGTTACTTGTATAGCGTTTTACTTGTGCTTTTCACCCTTTATCTCATTTATTCCCTAAAATAGTCCAATAAGATAGGTTGAGTATTTACCATTTCACAGTAAATTAATAGACATATTAGAGGCTAGCAATTTGCCTAGAGACACGTAGCTAGTCAGTGATAAAGATGGGATCTTTATGTCACCATTAAAGAAAAAATAACTATTACAAAATAAAAGATGTATATATTTTTTTCTCTAGTAAAAGACACTAAGAAGAAAAGAACTCCTAAAAAGAAACTTACCCCAGAACCACCAGCTGTAGATGAAGCTGGAAGTGGACTGGACGAAGGTGATTTCAAGCTCACCCCAACTCCTAACATTCCTACCACCCAACGCAACAAAGTTACCATATCTCCCAAGATTACAACAGTAAAACCAACAAATCCCAAACCCAGTCTTCCACCTAATTCTGATACACCCAAAGAGACATCTTCGACAGCCAATAAGGAGACAACAGTTGAAACTACAGAGACTTCGATAACAAATAAACAGACTGCAACTAGCGCAAAAGAGAAGACTACTTCAGCTAAAGAGAGTGCAGAGAAAACATCTGATACAGATTTTGCACCCACATCTGAAGCTCCTACTAAATCTACACTCCAAGCTGAAACTACAACCAAATCCCCTGCTCTCACCACCACCAAGGAGCCCGCTCCCGCCACTCCCAAGGGTCCTGCTCCCACCACCACCAAGGAGCCTGCTCCCACCACCACCAAGGAGCCTACTTCCACCACCACCAAGGAGCCTGCACCCACCACTCCCAAAGAGCCTGCTCCCACTACTGTCAAGGAAACTGCTCCCACCACTCCCAAAGAGCCCTCACCCACCACTACCAAGGAGCCTACACCCACCACCCCTAAGGAGCCTGCACCCACTACT